TCTCTAAACAGACCGCAATTTCACGTTCGTTAATCCCGCTTTTCAAAATGTGTTCCGCCGTAATGGAGATTCTCTCGTATTTTCCTTCCATTCGCTTAAAACAAGAGAACTTCAAGTACGATGATTGGCATAGATGTAACATTCCTTGTGAGAAATTTATCGTGTTTTTATCCAATTGTTCCATTCACGAAAAAAATGAAACAGAACAGTGGAATTCGTCTTTAATTTTTTCGATGTTAATTTTAATTTAATTCGATGCGAAATTTTGCGTATCTACTCCCTTAAAGTATCTACGGTAAATGAAAAAAGGTTCATATTGTAATAAACGATAAATTAGTTTGAAATTGTAGGGAATTGTATCTTCTTTACAAACATACCAAAAACGGTTTATTTCTATTGCCAATAATAATTGATAAAAAAATTCTCTTCAGCTTATAGAAATCTTGTTGATTGCATCTTGAAAACGTTAACTAAGCTCACGTTAATAAAAGATATAGCTTATAGCTGATATAAAAGAGAGGAAATAGACACCGTTAGACAGATAAAAATAGACCGATAAAATATTCAATGGAAATCTATAAGAATCGGATGATCATTAATGCTCGCGTTTACTTTTCCGTCGGTAGTTCGCGTAACAGCATAAAAATGTTCAGGAGGAAAAACGAGCGACACGTGAAACGCGAGCTAAGAGGAAAGGGGCAAAATAAAAGCTGGTCGATCGTTAGGAAAGTATCGTGTCGTGCATATTCAGGTGACTCGGGTGTAAGTGGTACCTAGGCCAAGCGCCATGGTCACTTTCTTCGTGGTCTCACGTGACATTGCGTTCGCAACTCGTTGAACACGAAACGAAAAACGAGATTCCTCGTGGAATGTGTTCTTCGCCATCAAACGTACAAAGAACCTCGTTCAGTTTTGTTAGATCTCTCTACGATTTATTTAAAAATCAAATAAAAAATTTAATTAAAAATTTGTGAAAATGTTCGTTCAAACATATAACCCCTTATAAAGTTGGCAAATAAATTTCTTATAATCGTAAATATTCGAAAAGGACTTTTGAATATGACATTGATTATCAATATTTGATGGTCGTGTGGCAAATCGTAATTCTTTAATATTTTATTAAATAATTTATTACAATGACGAATAAATAAAATTTTAGGTCGTAGTCTATATATTCCGTGGTAAATTTATTCACGAAATTTGTTTAAAAATCGCTGTTGTCTATTAGAACTACAGCTATATTATTAAGATTTATTTTATGAGAATGGTGTGAATATCTTTTCAAATAACAAGAGTGATAATAACTCTTATGACCGTGTAAAAAATTATTATTTTTACCGGAAGATCAATATTGATTTTCGTCAAAATTTTATAGAAATATGATGCAATATACGTACAGTTGTACCGCGCCTGTTTATGAATTTATGGTATGTGTGAATATGCAAAAATGAACGAAAGTACAAGAACATAAAAAAAATTAAAATACATATGTAAATAATAATTATTTCTATTCAAGCTCCTTTATCAATATCTGCAAAAACACGAATTTACACAAATAAATATTTCAAGAAGTATTTATCTGCACTTAATTTTCATATCTTCGAGAAGACATTAAAGTTTTCATTAAAGTTTCTCGATAATTAATTACTCGTGGTTTACTCTACCGGCAATTAATACTATCGAGAGTAATTACGCTACTCAGATACCCTTTCTTGAAATAGTTCGTTCGAGCGTTATACAATATCGATTTCATCGACCAACGACTAATTTATCTTCTTTTTTTCCCTGAAACCGAAGAAACGGATAAAGCCGCATGAATATTTAAAAGGTTCTACTAACGTGTCTTTTCGACGCGTTGCAAACCTTTTCCACACCGACATTACAATACAAGACAGGTTCGATTGAAATATTGAAACTGGACGGCTGACGTCTGAGACAGACGTTGGACACTGTGTCACGGTCGAATAATTCCGATAAAACAGTCGCTGGATTTTTAATTCGTCTCAGGCGGGCTCGTGGAAAAATTAACTCCTGCACTTGCCGGATATAAAGCGGGTTGGTACTGCTCGGTGTCATTTCACCTTGACACGGTGACGTTTCCTTAAATCTTCCGGGGATTACACGGAAAACGGAAAAGAGATCCAAATGTTGTTCTATGGGAATACCATGCATCGTGAGACTTTATAACGATGAAACCATGCGTCTTTTATGTTCCATTTTCGTGAGTTACCGGAACTTTGGCCATCGGCACGACATTTCTAGGGACGTAGTGAAGCAAACGCTTGTCATTTCGTTGGCGAGAGAGAAATGGTTAACTAATTGTTATGCTATAGTTTAGAAAGTATCTTTGTCATTTGAGGATTAAGGTATTTTCTTATGCTGAATTCGAATAGGTAATGAATTTTAGGTAATGAATAGGTAATGAATGAGTTTTTATCTTGCAAGATTTCGTACTTGAAACGTAATGCAAGTCGAATGAAAGTGAAAGTGAAAAACTATTTGGAATGTTACAAGAAAATTATTTGTATTAGGCGTGCAATGTTGGTAAACAGAATAGATTGTAGGAAATAATGACCGAGTACCTTTTTTCGTTGTAGTCCTTGAAATCATCATATTGGTAGCTTCGACATTCCTCTATCAGGGGACTGAATTATTTTGAGTTGAGGTATTCTGATTACGGATTAAAATTCAGCATGGAACAATGAACAAGGACCAGTACAGTGTGACAGGCAGGGATATATATATATAATTAGAAAATATTTGCATATTTATGAGAAAAAGTGGAAAGATACGGTACACATACGAGATCACATCTGTTTGTTTTCTGTCTGTTTTAATGGAAACTGCGGATTCATGTGATGTTCATGTAAATAGAATTTAGCTCAAAGCACGTCTATTTGTGTAATGTGATGCATTCTGAAGAGAATATAGCTACACGTGTCACGCGCATGATTTACTTACGTCTGCTTGTAATTGACACTGCAATTTAACGTTATTAGCATACATCACGTTCAGAAAATATTGTGCAGCTTCTAATTTTTCTCCTCAACGAGAATATTATTCATCGATGTTTTATCCGAGTTGAACTTTGCCAGTTCCAGGAATTCTACATTATGCTCTTAGTCGTCCTCTTTTTTCATTGATTGCACACCTTTTTGCTGTTTTTTACGATTCTCGCGTTAACGATAAAGTCACGAAGTGGGATAAAGTGCGATTTAAAAATCGCTCGAGAAGTCAGGTAATCGTCAGAGACCAGACTTATATTCGCAATACGCTTCTGTCTGTGAGATTTTATAGATCTTGCAGTTTCATCGAACTAACGACGCACGTAGCATAATGATCTAACTATTTCATGTTCGACATTTATAATATTTGATTTCCGTTGTAATAGTCGTTCAAATATTACGTACAATAATATTGCATCGCAAGTTGAAGATTTTTCTCAAAATTCTTTAAAAGAGAGGCGATCCGCTCATGTTACGAGATTTTAATTTTTAATTATGAAATTTAAATGACAAACAATACATACTTTTGGTATGATTACGTGTTTCGTAGAACCTTACAAATTGAAAAAAAACCTACCACAGATTTTAAATTTATTGTAATAAAAAAAATATTAGCGATGGTTGCAGAATTAATTTCAAATTAATAACACATCATAAATGAAATTAGCAAAATGATTTAAAATTATTAGTAGTGTATATTCTCTGCTTATATAATTCGAAAATCTTCATCAATGTCAGTTATATCATTTACAATTCCACCTCAGCAATTCAGCTTTCGGTTTCATTTGTTTAACGCGTTAGGTTGGGCCCTGTCAAATTCTGGTAAAATATGTTACAGGGTCATTGCCACTTGACCCTCGGATTTTACGACTACGATCGTATCTAGCAGGAAAGGCTCTTCGAGTCTTATTGCGGTCTTTGACATTGGACATTGTTGTAGACGCCCCTGACACGTCATCCTCGATGCTCGGAATAATAACGTTCATCCATTGTCCTGCGGGGGCGTTTGTTTTCTTTTTCGATAATTACGGAAGGGTCTATTATATGTTAAACGCTCTGGCACGAAATAAAAGTCATTTAACAAGAGAGAAAGAGTAATTCTTAGAAATAATGGAGCTATTTACATCAGCAATTAGATACGTTGATAGCATAATGCTGCAATTTTCCAGATTTCTAGCTTAAAATCTTAGGATATTCGAAGAATTCGAAGGATGTTTTCATCATCATATATATATATATATATATATATATATATATATATATATATATATATATATATATATATATATATATATATATATATATATATATATATATATATATATATATATATATATATATATATATATATATATATATATATATATATATATATATATATATATATATATATATATATATATATATATATATATATATATATATATATATATATATATATATATATATATATATATATATATATATATATATATATATATATATATATATATATATATATATATATATATATATATATATATATATATATATATATATATATATATATATATATATATATATATATATATATATATATATATATATATATATATATATATATATATATATATATATATATATATATATATATATATATATATATATATATATATATATATATATATATATATATATATATATATATATATATATATATATATTATATTACTATATAGTATATAGTATATATATAGTATATAGTATATAGTTATAGTATATATATATATATATATATATATATATTTACGTAATCTTTCTTTTATTTTATGGCATCGCTTTAATGGCTTTGTACTGTTCGTTGTAGGTAAACAGCTTATTTTTTGGCACCATGATGTTTTTATATCATCACATTATTTTTGGTCACCTTTACACTGTTTTTTTTTTATTGCTGAAATTTAACTTTTACATCTTTCATACAGTTTTTACTTGTTATTATTAATCTTGATATTTTTACGTTATTTCTTGAAAACTCTTTTTCTACGAGAAATACTTAAACGATTTCTTATCATTACAATTTTCGTTATGCTCTTCTATAATCTTTTTTCTGTCACAACTCCTCCGTCTTAGCATCCTTAATTTGAAATTTTTCCAATGGTCTTCCGTTCTTCTTTATTCTTAGAATTATTCAGTTCCGGAAACGTTCAGTTCAATCTTCCCACTGCTAGAAATTCTTCTCGTAGAAGAAGTGCTTCCTTCAATACGGAGAAATTTTCCACATCACAACATTCAAAGGGAGAAACTCGTTCAATGATAGATTATTTGCCACCATTGATCCAAGAGAGACCCTGCCTATAGAAATAGTAATTGAAAGCAGGAAGCAATCCTTAGAAACGTTCCTAATAGTCAGCCAGCCATTAGGGATTATTTTGGAGGAAGTGAGTAGTATTGAATGGCCATTGGGTAGTCTGCGCTTTGGGTCAGATCTTCCATCAAGGAGTAGTTTGATACGATAAATCAACTTTCAACAAACTGGTGTTGATAAATGTCGAGAATGTAGGCACAAATGACCTGCAATTGGATATCAGATGGGCTCGAAATACCTTTGTTGGAGAGTTGTCGAGGATCATTCATCTCTTTGTAATCCCCAGAGAGTGGAAACCTCGAAGAGCACTCGTCTTCCACCTAATGCCTCGCGATTTACCTTCACATTTGACTAATTTCCACAGTTAATTATTCTTTGAAGTTAGTAAAGAACTATTCACAGTTCTTTATTTTTTCACAAAGTATTTTTTCACAAAGTGCATGAAAATTCAAACAGAGCGATAAGAAATAATAGCACGTAAAAGAAGGTTACTAACAATGCTTTTCCTCTCAATATTTCCACGTGATGTTATCAACTTTTGATCTGATCTCGTTACTTTAATTTCAAACCTCCCTTAAACTACGGGGACAGTTTCTTCTCCTGAAAAAAATGTATTTTTCAGTAAATTTCCCACAAAATCTTATTATCCTGTTATCCAGGAGAAATTACAATCTGTCAACTGACCGAACAGATAGGAAGAGACCAACGGTCTGAGTAAATCAATTCGCAATTTCCAGATGAAACTCATTACAGACCTTTACCCCGAGGTAAATTACATCTCAGAATAGATAAAAACTACGTTTCACAATTTTCTCCTTTTCGTGTTCGATAGTCGATTAATTCTCCAGAATTTATAGAAATTTTCCACGTTATTGTAAAAGCTCGAAGGTCGTCGCGAAAAATCGATCATAAGAGCTACGTTACATAATTTCCTCTTTCCTATGCACGTTCATTCATACGACGATTTTCCATGGAAACCCTATTTTCGTTGCAAAAGGACGAAGATTACCGATCGGCGCGAAAAATCCATAACGATTCCATGGTTAGGTTTCGTAACTTGTCTCGCTTCCGAGTCAACGGATCAATGACGTCATACTTTAAGGCTAAGGTGTACGGTGTACACTCTACTCCCACTACGAGTAGACAATTCGAACGGAGACACGTTGTCCTGTCGAGGGAACAGGTGCACAGTGGCGATCGGTCGGCCAGGTACGACAACGATATCCGCCAGTCGATCCGCGAACGAGAAAGTGAGAAGCCGGTACGTTTGTACGTAGATCGCTCAAAGATCGATCTTAGATCGTGGAGAGTAGGAACGTCCGATAATTTACTCTCGGACTCGATTTACCTCGAGTGTTTAGCTATTTGAGAGTTGTCGCGAGTGTCTTTTCCTCAGTTCATAGATTAGGATCGTTGTTGTTCTGGGGAATCGAAGAATCTGATGCCGTGAGGAGAATTTGTCAAGTAGAAGAGTAAACGGGTAAGAGAATGAGATATTTCTGTGTCCAATAGAATAGATGGCATTTTTGAGATATAATCGAGATTTTTTGTTAAGTGATATAAGTGAGAGAGATTTGCCAAGGAAAAACCAAGGATTTGTAATAAAATAGCTGTCCTTGTGAATCTTTGTTCTGACTGTTAGAACGCTTATCCAAAGAGTTGACAAATTTGACAAGAGTGTTCTTGTTAGGAGTTTCTCAATTTATTGAAAATGTGCACTTGATTAATCTTGGTGGGAGCTATCAATTTTTTAAAGGATATATTTGAAAAACGAATGGCAGAAGTTGTTACATTGTAAGGTAGTTGAAAATGTAACTGATATTCAAGAGCTCCAATTACTGTGACATTTCTCTAGTGAGCGAAAGTAGTCTATCAAAGTAACTAGGTCTCTTGAAAATCAGTCAAACCCATTTCAATTACCCTACTATACTAATTCTCTCCCCATTCACTTCTTTTGCGTCTGTTTAACTTTGAATCCTTGAAATTGATATCCTAAAATATTAGTCTCCAAAAAAGTATCATCCCTACCGGTATTGCTATTCGCGCTTCTTCCAATTTGTATAACTTCCCTCTACGTCCCTTACATCTATTCATTTCCGATTATTACATTTACATCCATTTAAATTGACACCTTGGAAGCTAACATTTCAGCGAGTAAAAATAATTTATTCGATCTCTTCAAAACGCTACTCTTAAAGAAAAAGTTAGTCCACACAATATAATTATTCCTACTTCTTTTTTCGCTTCCAATTTTTACAACTTCCTTCTACTCGTTCCGTCAAGTATACTCCCAGTCACTCGATATCTTATTGAACGAGGAAGAAGAAAGTTTTATCCTGAGGTTTTGTAACATGTTTGGTCAATAGCCTGCAATACTGCGTTCGTGGTAATTAGCCTGAATTTTGAGTAGCTTATTGTGAATCCATAGAAATGGAAAGGAACGAGGTATTCGCACGCACTCGCGATATTTTCGACAAACCAGTTTTTCATTACGTAACATACGTCTAGGTTATCCGGAACACGTACGTAAATATCGTGGCCACTAATCGTGTTCGAAGCTGTTAATCCTACAAGAATATTAGTCATGGTCTTTCGTTCTGTGTATATTTTTTCAACTCGACAATTATATAATTCGCGCATTCGATATTCTGTCCATTGAAAGATTTTCGCTGAATCAAGGTCGTTCGGTCAGAAGGAGAATTGACGTCAGAAATGGCTTTACCAGCGACATTTTTATCTCTGTCGAAACTTCAACACCGCTAATCGATTATCGTTGTTTCATACTTCTTCGTTAACTAGCGCCAATTCGCGGTCATTAAGGCGCTTATTGCAGACGCGAGATGAGAAATTGTGGCACGATGGAGTACGACGCTCATTTGATGACACGATGATGTTGATTTCCTAACTTTGGGCTTAATGTAGATCAATGGTTCAGCGTTCTTGTAATTTTGTCTTCATGACTCGTCTTATTCGAATTATTCGAATATTCTTACGAACGCAACTAGAGATGGAATCTACGTAGAGAACTGTTTCATTCTCTAACATTTTTCTTTTTTTCACCTTTTTTTCTTCTTACGTGTTTCAAAATATATTGAAATATTCGAAGCTTATCGTGCTCTTTACTTTTTAAGTAAAGTTATATTATTCGAATCGTCACGAAATCACAACCAAATATTGCTAATTGAACGAAGCAGATGAAACACTTATATTTGCATATTAAATGTATTACGTGCATTTTTACATCTACAAACTTCCTGCGAATGCAGAAAACTCTGCGATCCACTATTGATGCAATGCACTCGAGTGATCTCTAATGATCTGCTATATTACGCTGATTTTCTAATACAGATGCCTGCTTCAAGGTTGAATGAGCCTTTGCATCTTCCGGAATCGATCGTTGTCACATTTCCGTACTTTGTGCTCAACGAAACGACGCGTGAAAAACGAACTATTATTGCACAACCCTCGTTTCGCAGTTAATCGAACAGTTTCGAGTACCGTTGCAGCTCGATTGTTTTCGTGCAAACGACCAGTTCTCGAACTACGGTGTTGGAAGTAATTAGAGGTTCCTGTGTATAGGGAATGGTTTAAGTAATAGCTGTGGAAAAAAGGTATTTCGATGTTTAACAGGTTTCCCTGGTCTGTTATATTAGTTAAGTTTTAGCATATAGTTTGTGTGGCAAGTTTGTATGCACGTGGAATGGCGTGACATTAAGCAGGTGGGAATTTTAAATTGGAAATATCGAGAATGATATTTTTTAGCAGCGAAATATTGCTTATTCAATTGAATGGTAATTTACTGGACAACAGAAATGCTAATCGCTAGGAAGGATATTACAACTGTCAAGTCATTATGAGTTTGTACTTTTTTAAATACTTCTCTGACGTATTTGACTTTTTCTTTTAAACGAATCTGATAGTATAATATTACCGACTATAGTATATTTAAATCTGAAACAAGATAAGTTAAATATAACTTCTAAAATGAGATATGTCACAGAGAGGAACATTATAATAACCTAGCAGTCTTCCTAAACGCCTTTTCAAATTATAACGTGCTGTCATACTCTGTAAGAGAAGATTCTTAAGAAGAGATAAAAAAATGATAAAATAATCTACCAGGAATTGATTTCTACATCATGCGATATATCAGAATTAATTCTGACAAGCCACTCTTTGAAAAAACAGCCCGTATTATTTTCTAAATGTAAAAGGAACAAAAGTCTTCGAGATCCAGTATAGCTATCGATCAAAACTTAGTTCTTATTTAAAGAGCTAGAACATCGAAACTTCCAACACGATTTATTCGATCCATCATCTTATTTTACGAATCCCTTTTCCACGAGAACCTCCTCAATTCATTTGCAAATTTAATAAAATCTTTCAAAATATCAACTAAACTTACGAATTACGTATCAACATCGAACACGTCTGCAACGATGCATACAAAATTAGTTGATCGTTAAGATACGACTATGATTACAAGATGTTCACGACACTCTGCAGCATGAACAAACTTCTTTGACCCATGAACAAGGGAACAACACGAGTTGTTTCCAGACGTGAACCATCGACTGTTCAGACCGCGGAACTTCTTCCGGTTTATGTCATAAGATATTCCTGCTGCGTTTCTCTCGGCATACAGATTCAGGCCTTTCCTTTGTGGCCACATGCGAGTGCAATGATCGACGACCGATCAACCGGAAGCCTGTATCGATTCCAATACGTTCATAGATACAGTATGAGGGGGGAAGAAGCAGTGTCAACGCGTTAGATGAATGTATAGAACGTTATTGAGGAATTCTTCATCCGGTTTGAATCGTGATCAATGGCTATGTGTTTAATGATCATTGAACGAGATTGAGTTATCAATTCGCTTTGATTAAATTGATTGGAAGCTTTAAGATAGGAAAATGGGGTTGAAAGAATGTCAATAGGTAGAGATGTTTTTCCGACGTCGCGATAGCTGTTAACCCAGTTATGTCTATTATCTTTTCAATGGGATGATCGAACTGTGGTTTTTGTTCCCATTTTGACATTCTCAACAGCGTGTATTTAACATCGTCGTTCTAGTTGGCCAGTTAGAATGATAAATTAATGGAACTATGAATAGCGAAGAATAACACTAAATAGACATTTGATTAACGCAATATCTATATTATCAAGTGGATGCCAATGTTTAGATATGAAATAGAGGGCGACATTATTATTCGTAATTGACAAACGTAAGACGATAATTGATCTTCATTAGATGAACGAAAATATTATTTGTTATATTTGCCCAGTATAGGAAGGAGATTAAACCGCGTCAAAAATTGGACACGAACAAATTGCTAAAAAGTGCTGAACTGATATTCTGTAATTATATATCGCAACAGAGTATTAAAATTAAGTATCCTAATGGATACACTGAAATATTCTATCGAATATTCTGTTCCAAAAAGTACGACGAAAGTAATCTACTTACTATCGAAAGGCTTACGCTTTCCTAGTTAAAGGCATGTTGAAAGATATTTCAAGTTACACTTACAATTGAAAAGTTTCTAACTCCGATTCCTCGTGTTAATCAACAGAGGAGACATGTTGCGCTCGGTGAGAAAGCAGGCGAGAAAGTGTAATCGAATTAGCCGATGTTCTAAGGCGCAACGTTCATTTCCATTTGCTCAGTTAACAGTTCATAAATCCCGAATCACTCTGGTATTCGATGCTTCGTCACGGAAGATCCTATCGTAAACTCGTTCAAACGTGCAAGCGTCCCTTCAACTAGCGTCGAAAAGTTCGCTCTCACGCAAACCCATCAATGCGAATCAAACTTTGAGTTCTTCGCAGATTAGCGAACCGAAACTTACGAATGAAGTTCGTTATGCTTCATCCACGCAGGCATTAAAATCTTCCGAATAGTTTAATCGGTTATTTAATTGTTTATTTATTGGAGAATACAGACGGATGATAAATTAGGATGGCGATATTAAAATTCTTGCTACCATTTCGCTATGCTTATAACAGACATCCATTCTAGAGTATAGTAGATATATTATATTACATCTATTCACGTTTCTCTTATCGAGTATGATCTCGTTTCCCTAAATTATAGTGTTTTTCGTACGTTTCTCTGAAAGTTTCCTTCGTCTGACATTGCAAGTACCAATACTACTTATCAACTAATTATTCTACTTTTATAATAATTCATATACAATTTGTTCTTTCCATATAAATATTCAAAAAAAAAAAAAAATGAGATAAATTTGTTATGTTACTTTTGCGACATATAAATGGAAAATTTTGAAGCGTTTTATTGTACTTAGGAAAATAATGCAATTAAAAGTTAACGACCACGGATGTGATTTCATTCATGATAAAAACTTTACTGAGGGATAAAAACAAAGGGATTCGAAAAGCAATCGCGAAAGGGTTATCGCATTTCGTTTTTTCTGTTGTTCGCATGCGACAATTTTTAGTTAACATCGTAAAAATTGTGG